AATGTAATGTAATGTATGTATGTATGTATGTAATTTAATGTAATGTAATGTAATGTAATGTATGGTATGGTATGGTATGGTATGGTATGGTATGTATGTATGGAAGGAAGGAAGGAATGAATGAAAGAATGTATGTATGCATGCATGCATGCATGCATTTTTTTTTTAGTTGCTGGTTTGGCTCCTTGGCCTCTGCCTAGGCGTTGTGCCTCAGTGCTGCCGTCTCAGAAGAAGTCCACGTTGAGAGGTTCATCATCCGCTAGGGACTCTTCTTCTCCTTGTTCTTGGGCACTCGCTGTCCTCATTGTGGTGTCTGGGTCGAGGCGTGCTTTCTTCTGGCCTCTATCCTGTTCCACTGTCTGTTGGCTGGGGTTCATGGCCAATGCAGTGGCAGCCGGTGTTGCTTCTGAGTTCAGGCTGTCGAGTGCCGTGGAGAAGTGTAACCTGCGAGGCGTGGGTCCTCAGTTTGGCCCCTGGGTGGGTGAGGCCTGGATTGCGTCCTCCAGGCGTGGGGCCGTGCTTGGATGTTGGTAGGCTGCCCTGTCCGATTCTGTCTTGGAAAGGGGTTGCCCTTGTGGGTCATCCTGGCTGTTTGCCTTTTGTGTGGCTTGCTCAACCTGTTTGCGGAAGAGTTCTGGCAGCGGTGGTGATCCACTGATGGCTGCCCCTTTGCAAGGATTTTTCAAAGCTCCAGTGAGGATGATTCTTTGTTGTCCATCTAGATGCAAGCTCAGGCCACATTGGGTGCAGGAGACTTTCTCTCCCTTCTGCCAGAGTGCATGAGAGCTGTGTCCTGAATGGGCTTCAGTGTACGGTTGATCTAGGCACTTGCTGGCCAGATATGTCATGAAGGCTGCCTCATTGACTCGCTTGTGAATGCTGGTTCCACACTTGACACATCGTAGGTAGCCGGTGGTGGCTTCAAATTGGTGCTGTGCGGGCTCTGGTTGGTTCTGGGCTTGTTCCTCCAGAAGGTTCTTGATGACCTGGGCTCTGGTTTGTTTCTTTGGCATCGCCTGGTGAGGGCTGGCCTGTTCAGGGTACTGTTCATCCAGGTGTACACGCAGCCCGCACGCTCCACATTGATATCCACTTCTGTGTGGCGCCCACCTGTGTTGTGGTGATTGCCATGGTCTGGTGCATTGGCCCACAAGCTGTTTCTTGTATTGTTTTGTGTGCTTGCCAAGTTGTCTGGTGGGCTTCTGGTGTATGTAGTGCTCCTTGTTGTTGTAGATCTTTGCCAATCTCTCAGCTGCATGCCTGTAGATGAGCATGTGGTCGTCATCGAGCACCTGTTGCCACTCTGTGAGCTTCTTGTCATTGAGGCTGCTCGCCCGTTCCCAGGCAGTCAATGCTGCATCTCGTTGTCGCCGGCGAAGTTGTGGCTCGTTGCCGGGTGCTTCTGGGGTCTTGGTGTTTCTACATACATATAGGACTGTGACTCTCTGGTAGTCCTGCTCAGTGACATGTTGCAGAATGTCCTGGTAAGGGCCTCTTTGGCTAGGGTTGGTCCACACTGCCCATACTGTGGTGAGTTGCACAATCACACGCACAGTGGTGTTGGTATGCTTGACCAAAGCCACCAATTCTGCAAGGAGTGCCCTGGTTTTTGTGTGTGTGTGGTGGCTCTGGAATGCCTGTTATGGCTGCCAGTCGTTGCAATTGTCCCATGGAGAGATGGTGTATGCAAAGTCCAAACGCCCAAACCTGACTGCGCACGTCGTAGTCGGACGGTGTGGCATCCAACGTGAAAGCACAGCCTTGGTATTGGCCTGGGGAGAGGATCTGCAGATCTTGCCATTTGCCGTGCCCTTGGTATGGGTGTGGGTCTTGGTGATGTTCTTGTGGTTCCAAAGGTGCCCACCCGGAGTTCCATAATGGTTCTTCAGCATGATTCAGGATCCTGTCTGCCCATTCCGGAGGCAGCAGTTTGTGTTGTTGTCCTTGATGCCACTTGCACAGCCAAATGATATGCTTTGGTGTGGCGGGCACTTGGCACAGAGGGCACATCTTCGTGTTGCCTGTTTCTTTGTAATGGATGGCTGCTTGAACCCAGGTCTTGAGGTGTGGCCGAAGGTCTGCAGGCAGCTGCTTGATCATTTGCCTGTATGGGTGCCAGTCGATGCCTGTGAGCAGGTGTTGATAGTGAGCCTTGTTGGCCAGTCGAGCTGTTCTCTGGTTTCTGGCTTCTTGTTGGAGGGTTCGTTCAACCTTCCACCATGGGTCTTGGAGGCTGAGCTCGTTGTCCTGGAGGATCTGTGAGGCTGGTCTTGTCCATCGATGTAGTTGTTCGACCTGCCAATTCCATTCCAGGAGGTACACAATGGTCGCCGCCAGTGGTCCACGGACGCTCATGAAGTTGGCTCCAGGCTTGCTCCAGGTGTGTCATCTGGTTGGGTGGACACTGTTGATAGAGGGTGTGGACTGCCTTGATGTGCTGGATAAGGACCTGGTCAGCTGGGTATTTGTTGCTGTGCAGATCATAGGTGCTGTCCAGGAGTCCTCCTTTGTGATGGCCAAGATGAGTGGCCATTGCTTGCCTCAGGGCAGTTCTGTAGCGGGGCGCCTTGAGCCTCCACTCCCCACAGTGCAACCGGCTGGATACCTCCTTTGTGTAATCGGCGGCGTATCTTGAGCGCTGGGGTCTTCAGGGATCGAAGCTTGATTTTCCGTTGTGTGGCCTTTTGAAACCTCTGTCGTAACACAGGGATCCTGCGTCGTCTGGCTGCTTGATGATCGATGCCTAGATCTCTCATGACAGTTGAGACTGGTGGCTCTTGTTCTGTGAGCATCGACCTGGGAGCATGGTCTGTTGCCTTGTCAGTGGCAATGAAGGGTTTACCTTCAGGCCCATGGCTGTGAGGCGGCTGTGTAGATCCCGGTAGGCCTGTCAAAGTCCACATCATCCGCCCAGCCGGAAAGGTTGATCTGGGGATGTTGTTGTTTCCATGGAATGAGTGCTGGCGCCAGTACCACTTTGGCCAGGCTAGAAGTGGAGGGGGTCATCTCTTGTTCTGCAAGGATTGCTTTGGGGCCCGTGTATAGCTGCGTGGCAAGCTCCAACAGTAGTGGAGGGTAATCCAGCTTGATCGCTTCTTCTTGTAACTTGTTGAGCTGGATTGTGTCATGTGACCCCACTCTTGCGTCTTGCTTTGTGCACCTCTTGTCTCAACAGCCGTTCCAATGCCACATGTAGTACACAAGCTCCTGGTCGAGCTCGGTCATGATCCATGTCTGCAGGAAGAGTTCTCTGCCATTCATCCAGCAGCGGCTTTCTCAAACGACACCACACCCTCCAGAGCACTGATGTCAAAGTGATTGGCCTTTCGATCTTGCTGTTCTTTGGTAACATCACTACTAGGTGCATTCGTAGTTGTGTAGGCAATTCAGCTTCCTCTTCCATGGTCTGATACAACTTTAGCAAGGGGTTCAAAGCCAGCGGTGGAATGCTCCTCATGAGCTGTGTTGAGACCGCATCAGGTCCACTGGCGTGATGTAGCTTGCCTGCAGTGAGTGGTGGGAGCTGTTGTGCTTGTGCCCTGGCTTTGTGGAGAAGTGACGGTCTGGGCTGCGGGTTGTTGTCCTGTCTGATGTGCCAGAGTCGTCCCCAGTCTTGAAGTCTCTGGTCCATGCGTGGTTGCATGGGAATCTGTCGGTACGGTCTCTCCCATGCGAGCTCACTGGTCTTGAGGCTTCTGAACAGTCCGCGTAGGCCTTTCTTGTATCCCTCTTTGAAGCCATTGTTTGTACTGTAAATGACTTCTTCCTGCGCCAAGTGCTGGGTCTCCTGAAGCTGGTGCTGTATGCTGAATGAGGTCAGCTGCATGTGCGTCCCTGTACTGGTGCCAGTGGTGACAGGTGTCGAGGAACTGCGCCCACATGGGTGGTCCTGCCCAGTGAAGATGGACATCTCGTATCGTGTGCATGAAGCCTTGAACTGGACCTTTCTTCATGTTGGCCGGCTGTT